ATAGCATTTCACCCATGGTAGACTTATTATTATTTTTTTTTTGAGAGGTTTTCGCTATAGGGCGCGTGTGCTCGCCAGACAGACAGAGAGAGACAGAGAGACAGAAAGCGAGAAATCACCCCCCAGAGGGGATGGTCACGTCGCAATCCCTTCTTCTCCATTCTCCTCTCGGGATCTTGGGCACGCACGCACACGCGCCCGGCATGAGTTTTAAGCCACCGGGTCCAGGATGCGAACCGCAGTCGACTACATGGGAGTCCAGCGACATAGCCATTACGCTTACTGCTGGTTCCCGCCCATGGTAGACTTCTTTCAAAATTAAAGTCAATCTTCTCAACCCTGTCACAGCTTCATTAACTAAGTTTATAGAATTTTTTTTTTTGAGAGGTTTTTGCTATAGGGCGCATGTACTCACCAGAAAGACAGAGAGAGACAGAGAGACAGAAAGCGAGAAATCACCCCCCAGGGGGGGGATGGCCAGGAAGCAATCCCTTCTCCTCCGTTCTCCTCTCGGGATCTTGGGCACGCACGCACATGTGCCCAGTGTGAGTTTAAGCCACCGGGTCTGGGACTCGAACCACGGTAGACTACATGGGAGTCCAGCGTCATAGCCATTATGCCAACTGCTGGTCCTGAGCAGCAATATTTCGAAAGGACTGTTTTTATTTTTCTGAGCAGTAGGTCTAAACAGTAAGCCATGCTGTGAGCAAGTGCACTATGATCCAGGCTTTGCGATCCCGCTTAGAGCGCACAGGCAGAGCAGACTGAGCGTCATCTTTAAGGACTCCATGATCTTCCGAGTGGTAATTGAGCACTGGCTTCATCTTACAGCCACCAGCTCCATGGGCCCCTAACAGGGGAGGACAGTCAGCCTTTTGAGGGTCTGAAGCTAGGCACTGTTTCTCCTCTCTAGCTGAGAAATTCCTGGGGGGCATGGCAGTTCCCTACCCTGACTTTGCCAGGTTTTCGGGGTTCCTTCTGCAACAGCACTTGCGGCTTCACTTGGCACTTTCATGCTACGAAGCAGCTTCTTTCTTTCAACCTCCTGAACCCCTGCTAGCATCAAGCTTTTCTTTATGTCGCCCTCACCTCTGGCTTCGCGGACTGAGAGAGATAGGGCCTTGCTCCAGGTTAGCCTTTGCTGTTGTGGCTGGTTTGACCTTCCATCCCGACCACTAAAACTTTCTCCGAGTCAGCAATAGACCGTCTCACTCTCTTCTCAGTCATGTGTTCACTCAAGTTACCTTTCCATGTTTGCCAGTAACTTTTCCTTTGCCGTGCGCAAGCGCCTCGCTCTCAGCCCCTCCTAGCTTTGGCCATGCCGTCCTCGCCCAGCTGAATCATCTCTAGCTTTCGCTTAAAAATAAGAAATAGACAACCCTCCTTTGCACTCAAGCACTCCGAGGTCTCTGCAGGGTTGGTAACTGACCGAACTTCAGTACTGTTGTGTCTCTGGGACTAGAAAGACACCCCTTCCAGAGGGGGCAGAGAGGAGAGAGGTCAGCTGGAGCTCACCTGGCTTTCATCAGACTCACGGACACGGGGGTTCGTGGTGCCCAGCACTGCAACAGTGTCATCGGAGACCACACACCACAGGTCACATGGCAGAGACGGTCACAGGGGAAAGCTCGAAATATTGAAAGAACTGCCAAAAATATGACTCAGAGACGAGAAATTTCCCACATGCTGTTGGGGAAACGGCACCGACAGACCTGCTCGGCACGAGGGCTCGACAAACCTTCCATTTGCAAAAAGTAATTATCTGCGAAGTCTAATAAGGCAAAGCGCAATAAAACAACGCCTGCCTCTAAACTGTCTTACTATTTGCTTATACCACCATATGGAGGGCAGAAGACCGAATTACCATTTTGTGATGTTTAATTTCTTTTGTAAGTGCCAGTATTCGATGTAGCCAATATATTCATTAGTGCTATGCACTTTGTATTTTTCCAAGGTTAACAGAATATTATTGTATATTATATACTGTATTATATGAACAAAACTATGTCTTCCCCTACAAAAAGCACTTTAAAATCACTTCTAATAAAAGTTTATTAGAAAAATAGAAATTGGGGGTCCAGCAGGTGGTGTGGTGGTTATGGGTGTTGGACTCCCACATGGCCAACCTGTTCAAGTCCCGGACCTGAAACCTTGTTTTCTCACTTTCTCTCTCTCTCTTTCTCTCTCTGTATCTCTCTGGAAATATTAAATAATAATGATAATAATAGGGCAAAGGAGTAGAGCCTGAGGAAAGACATTAAGGAGAAAAATAGAGAGGCAAAGCATTAATGGGACAAAAAAATGGGTATTATCTGTTGAAGATAACTTTATGGTATTATCAGCTGGACTAGGGAGAAATGTACACACGCTGGAATATCCACTTTGTAAGTTGAATAACGTGACTGAATGTATAAAAAAACTTGAAATAAAAGAAAAAGAAAACTAATAATAATAAATTTTAAAACTCTTTTTTTCTTTTGCTTTGTTTTGCTTTTTGGACAGAAAGCGAGAAATCACTCCCCAGGGGGGATGGCCACACCGCAATCCCTTCTCCTCCATTCTCCTCTCAGGATCTTGGGCACACATGCACACACACGCCCGGCATGAGTTTAAGCCACCGGGTCCAGGACTCGAACTACAGTTGACTACATGGGAGTCCAGCGACGTAGCCATTACACTAACTGCTGGTCCCTATTACCCCCATTTTCTGTATGGGAGATCTAAGACTCAGTGGAAAGAAGTAGCTAGAAAGTGGGCTTTGGGAGGACACCAAGACGCCACGAGTCCTGCCCTTGTGCATGTAATCCTGACGACCCCAAAGGGACCCTCCTGGCTATGTTCACTGGCCAAGAAAAGCAGCAGCCGGAAATCCAGGATGTCCATGCGCCTTGTGATGTCCACAGTGAGTAGAAAGAATCTCAACAGGAGGCGGCCTATGCGGTTTCCATCTCCCTCCCGCAGCGCTGGCCCCTTGGACTCAGGTAAGTTTCTGCCTTCTTTGATCTTGAGTTTCATCAAAGTCCCGAGTAAATAGCTTGAGTGGATGATCCCTGAGGGCCCGTGGGCTCTGACGGCTGGGAATTAGCTTCTCTTTCCTGTCTGTAGCGCAGGGAAGCAGTGTTGGAAAGCTGAAGTCCCCTCAGGGTGCGTCCTCACGGCATTCTCACACTGCTCCTTTCACTCCGCACCACCGTGCACCAAACGCGGCCTTCTCTCCTTTAATCCCCCAGAGAGCTTCAAAAAGTCGGAGTGGGGTGGGCTGAGGAAATCAGGGAAAAACATTTCAAAGGCACAAAACTGAAAAGTTACCTGGCGATGATAACATACATGGTAATGTCGTTGACTGGACTGACAGACACTCTGCTCATGCTCGGAAGAACCATTTTGTATGCTGAACAGATGAACACTGATTAAAGTGAATAAATAAAAGAGCACTGGTGTTGTTCTCATTTCACAAGAAGGGAGATTGGATCATAAAAAAATAAATAAATAACGGATTTGTCTAAACATTACTGACAAGTGGGCCCACCGTCCAGTGCACAGACTGAGGGGCCGGGTCTTGAAGCTAGGAAGAGTTTCACAGCATCGCCAACCAGCAGGGAGACAGGAGCAAACTGCAGGCCTGCCTGTCCTGCCCAGAAAGACACGCCTTTCACAGCACAAGAAACGGGCAGGGACCTCGGGGTGATGTTGTGTACCAGTCCTGGACCGATTGGTGCGTGGGGCTGAGGAGGGCCAGAGCCACAGGTCCTTCGGTCCAGACTGCAAGACAGCCCACACCACCTATCTGGTCTCTCCGAGTGCTGTTCTTTTCCTTCCATTGCAAACCACGTTTTGTTCCAGCCTGCAGCCGGGGTCAGCTTTATGTCCATCATCTCAAGCAAACGCATCCAAGTCCGCGTTCATGACACCAGTCAGCACTAGATTTTTCTGGGGGTTTTCTTCCCGCTTTTGCTAGTCCTAGCCAGTCACAGAGAGATGCACACAGCAGGCTGTAGAATTCAGAGTGGAACCCAGGTTTGTCCCCTCCGAAGCCCATGCTCTGAACCCTCACGCCATGCTGCGACTTCCAGCTGTGTATACGTGGATTCGGGCAGGGGAGAGTGGACAGGGCGGCAGGGAACCCTCTTTTCTGTCTGAGTCTACAATCCTGTGAGCACAATCTATGTCTGCACATCCTTCTGTCCCTGTTCCCCACTTCCTGCTTTTCCACCTCCAAGACGCCCGAGAGTAACTGCTCATGAGCGATGAGGCGGCAGTGTAGGGAGCCCGGGTGCTGCCCTGGCTTTGTCACTTACACGACTGAGTTCTGATTCTTTGTAAACAATGAAGGGATCAGCAGGTGGTTAGAAGTTAAAGTGTGGATCCCACATGGCCGACTGCACAGTTGAGCCCAGACCTAGTGGCTTGAAATCACGCTAGGCATGTGTGCGTGCGTGCCCAAAATCCTGAGAGGAGAATGGAGGAGAAGGCCCTCCCCCTGGGAGGTGATTTCTCTCTCTCTCTCTCTTTCTCTCTCTCTCTCTCTCTCACATACACACACAAGCTCTATGGCATAAACAAACAAACAAAGAAAATTGAGAATACTTTCTCTGTCAACTCATATGGTTGTTATATAAAAAATCAGACTCAGGACCAGCAGATAACATAATGGCTATGTCGCTGGACTCCCATGTAGTCGACCACAGTTCAAGTCCCAGACCCGGTGGCTTCAACTCACACTGGGAGCACATGCTTGTGTGCCCAAGATCCTGAAAGGAGAATGGAGGAGAAGAGGGATTGCGGCGTGGCCATCCCCCGGGGGGTGATTTCTCGCTTTCTGTCTCTCTGTCTCTCTCTCTCTGATTATCTGGCAAGCACACACGCCCTCTTCCAAAAAAAAAAAAATCAGACTCATTTATTCATCCACTGAACAAATACTTGTTGAATACCGACTATGTGAAAAGCACTGTTCTGGACCCTGATGGTAAAATAAAGAACAAGACAAGATTTTGCCCTCGTGAAGCTTATATTCTAATAGAAGAAAGCAGACAGTGAGAATGCAAACAAATAAATGGGGCACTTTCAGATTAAGTATTAAACAGGGAGGAGGGAGGCGATTTTAGATGCCGATGGTGGGGGGACTCTGGAAAGGCCTGGAAAGGTGCCGTTGGAGCAGAGCCTGCAGCACGAGAACAGCCGGCGGTTGGAAGGGCGCTCCGGGCAGAGAGGAGCTGAGCATGTGCAGGGGAGAAGCCTCCTGGCGGCTGGAGCAGGGAGTCGGGGCAAGAGGATGAAGTGAGGAAGGAGAGAGGCTGGTCCGAAGCTCACTTTTGAGGGCGATGAAGCACATTACATGACTTGAAGCTGAAAAGGGACGTGATCTGAAGAACTTTGAGACTGGACGTTCACAGCAGGTGTCGGGAGGAGAACACGGCCGGTGGAGGGCAGAGGCGGAGGGCAACCGGGGAGGCAGGTTGAAAGCTATTACTCGAGTCCCGAGAGAGAGAACTCAGACCTGGTGTAGGCTGGGAGCATGGAGAAAAGGGGAGGTAGCCACAGGACATGCTGATGGGCTGCAGAAGGGACATGGTGCCTAAGGGGCTGCAGGATCCGAGCCTGCCGAGCCAACCGACGGCCCACGACCGGTGAAAGGGGCTGAACTGGGATGCAGCACCGAGCTAGGGTCCCCGTGAGACCACAGCTGTCCGGGGAGGTTGAGGGCGCCAAGGGTGCTGCTCAGGGACCCTAAATACAAGCTCCCCTTCACAGCCTGTCTACGTGCGGCCCTGCTATGCAGAGTATCTGTCTCAAAGATTTGGAATGTGGGGCCTGGCCTAGCGCGAGGCCTTTATCTTATTTGAAGGTAGACCCATCACCTCCATTCATTCTCCAGAGACTCGAGCCTGCTCCTGGGTACTTATGTTGTCCTTCACATTCGACGATAGCGCTTACATTTATCAATGTCTGAAACATCCAACTGAATCAGTCGTATTTGCAAAGAGCTGGATTAAGCAAACCAGAAGCCGGGAAGTCTAGAGGTTGAGGGAGCGGCCTTGCTGCTGTGACAGCGCTTCAGGGTGTGCATGGTCGGTGGGACCACCTTCCCGGCCAGGGCAGGACATCCGTAGTCCCCGCTCAGTCACCTCCTCCACATGCCAGCAGCACCCCGTTGGTGACAACCAAAACTCTACATTATTTCCTGGGGAGTGCAGCCCCAGCCCGGCAGAGACCCACGACTGTGCATTTACTAGGACCCGTTGGGCCTGCATGGACTCCCTGTCACCATTGTCCGATCTCACTCTATTATGTCGTATTAGTCCACGGCACGGAGGGAGTGGAGCTGCTCACTTTGCAAGAAATAATCACGTCTTCTCACACTCCTTTGCCCCTGCAAGCACCAGCCCGGACTTCTCGGCTGGTTCCCTGGGGCTCGCGGGTGCGTGAAGTAGCTTCCTGTAAGAGAGATCTCAGTAAGAGAGCCTCCCCGCTTCGCTCACCCGCCCACCCGGGCCTGCTACCAAAGCCTCCCGTTTACTACATAGATCCAAGGAGGACGCCCGAAGCACGGGGTGCCAGGAAGGGCAGGGTGAGAGGAGTCTGCCAAGTGACTGATCAGGGCGTGGGCCTGGGTGGGGCCGTCTCCGCCGCTGCACCATTGGCACAGGCTACCTCTCCGGGCAAAGGGTACCGCCTGAAAGAACAGGCGAAGCAACGCCCTCACCGGGCAAGGGCCCTGACTCCCTCTTCCCCAGCCGGTCTCACCGGTTGCTCCGCCTTGGAGGAGTTCATCTGATAGGAGAGCTCCCTCCTGGCTCTGCCTCTGCCGCACAGCGAGTCTTCTCGTGATTCATGGATTACTCACCCGGAGCTGGCTTCCCGGTGATCCGCCTAGAGAAGGGGGTGCACAACTCTCAGGGAACAGCTAGGAATTAAGTCCCCTCCTCCGTACACACGCGGGCAGGCTGTGGGACGCACTGTGTCACGGTGGGGCTGCACTGTCCCCTTGGCACTCTGACCCCGCAGCTGTCCCGCCTTCACTGGCCGTCACAGCTCAGGCGCACAGCGAGCCTCGCTCGGACACCCTTACAGAGACATCGCCGTCCGCGACGTCTCCCAGGGACGAAGGCAGTTTGGACAGGCCACGGTCACGCGTGGACTCTGAACGCAGCCCTCGCTTGCTCTTATGCTGCTGGAAACGGCAGGGGGGCCCCCGCCCCCCGCCCCGCCGCGCGCGGCGCCCCCC